CTTTACCATGCTGACGTCCTCCTCCGGTCACCAACAGCAGCCTCTGCAGTCTCAAGCGACTGCCACCAATTCCATCGACCACCAATTAACGTGCCAATGACCAATTTGTGGAGGACGGCGGTACAGTCGCCGCCGCCGCCACTGGCGGTGTTGGCGGTGGTGCAGGCGGTGCGGCCGCCATCGGCGCCGAGTACGCGTCCAGCCTGGCCGATCTGACGGTCAACAGCAAGCCGCTGATCAACATGCTGACGATGCTGGCGGAAGAAAACGAGAGATTCGCTGGAACCATTGTCAAAGCAATCGAGACTCACCTTGCCGAGGTGCGCATTTTCAGTTGTTATTCATTTTGATCGATCGATAGTAATTGATAGATGCGAGTTTTAATAGTAAATCGAGTCGCGGATGTTAAGGGGAACGATACGGAGATAGGAGTGGTTTCCAACCTTGAGTACGAACTATTAGCTAATCAATTAAAAATTGTCTGGTTTTTTTATTAACCTTTTGCACTCGTTGGTAAATTTGTTTGTTGGCTCATAAGCAATTTTTCTTTTGCAAGCCACATATCCTAAGAAAATGTAGTCTTATTTAACTACTTTGGATTCTTTGCGTAACGGTTAAACGCGCTGCTTCGTGTGGGCTCCGAATCCCGTTCTGGTCAACCTGACATCGGGCTGCATCGATGTCTATTAGGGAATGCAATACCGGTATACCGAATTACCGGTAAATCGCCCGATTTTTCGGCGGTATTTTTACCGGTATTTACCTAAAAAAAATACCGATATTTTAGGTAATTTTACGTAAGCGCTATTTGATACATAATACACTAAAGTTTGAATTTCTCGGAACAAATCTATCTTTAAATTTCATAATCGCATAAACAGCTATATCTTCCAGTGATTCTATAGGATAAACAAATGTCGAATATTATCTCAACTCGTCATTAAACTGAATATTTATTGCTGTACTAAGGGCTTCATATCGTGTTACAATAAAATAGACTGTAATAGATTGATGATGATTATGATGTTGTTTCATCTTATGTAAAAACGTAACAGTTTTTTAAGTGATATTTGCGCCAAAATATTTTATATCATTCAGATTACTTCTGCGTAATCTTTATTTTTTCTAACTTTACACAAAATAATTATGATAATTACTAAATATTTTTGCTTCTTATTACAGTACAATATCGAAAACGTTTCGAAATTTGAAAATAATATAGAGCCATCACATTGTTTTAAATAACAATACTTGACAAAGTATACGATCTTAAATTAGTGTAGAAAATTATTTTTTTTAAATATTGGAGATTATGCTAATTTAACACATCGGATACAGACAATACAGTTTATTATAATAATGTAATATGATCTTTTATGAGTTTTTTGTCTTTTTTACTCATAAGTTTGTTTTTGGTGAAAAGTACTCAATATACTTATTTACTTTATTTATTATTTTATTTTATTGTTTTTATTGTTTAGTTGAATATAGTTGTAGTTGTATATACATTTTTTTATATTTGTACTAGTAACTTTCAATTTTGTTTACGATTGTTTAAGATAATAAAAATACCGGTAATTTACCGGTATTCCAGTTTTAAAATGAAAAATTACCGAAATACCGGTATTGAAATTTTTCATCGGTATTGCATTCCCTAATGTCTATATTTACTTGAAAATGTAGATCAAAAATATATTTCCAATTGAAAATACCCATGCTCATTTCAGTCACTGCAATGTGAAAATGCAAATAGAAAATTTCTCACACTATACTTTACTGAATCGAGTTGGAATTTAAACTCAGCTCATGGAGAAGCCCTAGGGCAGTACTACTCATTATTATTTCACTCATTTAAATTTACCAAGAGTTTTTTTCCCGAAGTCTGAATTGCACTTTACTTCAGAAAAGTCAGTCATTCCTATTCTTACGCTCATACACCTTACAATGTATTTTTAATTGTTTGGTCTTTTCTTGGATAAGCTTTGCATACTACTCTTATCTTAAGCTAAGATGATTTTCTATTCATCTTTTACCCTATGATTTTAATCCCTATATTTTTAATAAATCTCGATATTTTACTACCGATCGTATATAATTAAGTAGCAGACAAAGTGATTTCATTCGGTTTCAAAATAATTTAAACATTCTATGTTATGGGGCAATTCTGTCCTAACAGAGTTCATAAAATAGCGTTGTCATGGCAACGCTCTCTTATGCTTGTTTTTGGTAGTGAAATTATGAAAATATTTGCTATGCGATCAGGCGTATCTTATTTATAAACAAGCAAGGAATAATCTTATGATAACTGCACCATCTAGAATTCTGTCTGTTATCATAACATTAATTCCTTGCTTGTTTATATGCAAAATGCGCCTGATCGCACGGCAAATAGACATCTTCTTATTTTCACTACCAAGAACATTAATAAGAGAGCGTTGTCATGACAACGCTATGTTATGAGCTCTGTTATGGCAGAATTTCCTCATTAGTTTTCTACAGTTTTGTTCTACTTCTCATAATATTTTCTCATATGCATTTTTGATGAAAAATCAGCCTTAATTTGGCTCAAGATCAGGTTTTTAGACATTGAGAATCAATTTCAGAGCACAAAACTTGTTTTTCAAGTTTAAAAAGTGTTGCAAAAGGTTAATAAGCTATGATTTTTAAAATAAGCTGGTTGGAAACTGCTTATCACCATTTGGGAAGCCGTTTATTGAGCTCGGATTTAATAAATGACTTTTTTAAAAGGAAAGTTCTTGCCAGACAGTTCTTGATATTATATTTGAATTCGTCCAATTTTTTTTTTTTTTAATTTGAATTTGATGCTTATAGAAGACTTGCTATATTTTTTATTTATAGCACTACAACATGTATACGTATGAATTAAATAAAAGTGAAAGTGAAATATGAATTAAATGGACATTTTGCGAGTTGTGATAAATTTTTAATATTATTATGAAAGTCGGGTCAAAACATTTTTTTTTATTTAGTTACAATATAGTGGGCTAATTATTTTTATTTTTTAGAGCTAATTCATGGATGATTACACAATTTACGATCAATTGATTTCTGGATGTTATATCAATTATATTACCCATACCTCGCTACGTTCCCCAAAAACGACGAAAAGTCAATTAAGATTCTTTTTAGCAAAGCAATAGATTTATTTATGAAAAAAAGTGAAAATCAATGACTATGTGATATTTCGATTGTGGCTTTTGTTATAAGACCGTTTTCTGTTACAAAAATTGGTCCAGTGTTTGTTGAATTGCTTTCCTTTGAAATGGAAAATAAAATTTCTCATATTTAGATTTGCAGTCATTATGCAGTCAGGATTGTGTTTTTCTTAAAGAGAAGTCCATTACCTCGTATCAATTGATATTTGCGGTCAGGATAGTTTTTTTTGAAAAAAAAAAAGATTCCTCGTATCAATTGATATTTGCAGTCCTTCTGCAGTTTCTTAGAAAGATTCTTATACCTTTGGCAATGTTTTGTATATTTAATCATAATAATTGCAATTTGGGAGTTTCATATTTCCTGTTATCTCTTCACGGTCCTTCAACAAAATAAAAAAGGTATTTGATACAGCTAATCATTATTTGCTGCTGCATTTCATAGGGTTTGTGTTTCTCAGTTTTGCGCGACGATCGGCCGAACAGTTTCTTTGTAATTAATTGCCGAAAAGTCAATTATTACAAATTTTTCGAAGTTCATGCAACTTACCTTAAGACAAAATGCCACTTTTAACTAGTTAGCACATTGCAATTCAAGTTGCAATCACTAGTTGTTTTTATTAGAGAATTCTTTCTTAAGGTTAGAGGGCGTCCATTAATTACGTGATCGATTTTTTAAGGGTTTTTGGACCCCCTCTTGCCCTTCAAAAAATTACTTCCCCAACCAAACATCACGAGTAAAAATTGTAAAACTTAAGACTTTTTTGAAAATGTTCAGATTCAAAAAAAAAAAAAAAAATCAGGTAAAAATAAATACACGTGATATCTTACTATACCCCTCTTCTTTTTCAGGATTTTTGGACCCTCTCTTTTCTTTCAAAAAATTACTCCCCTTCCATCACGATTAAGAAATGTAAAGCATTTGATTTTTTTTTATGAAAATGTTTGGATTTTTTTTAAAAAAAAGTCAGGAAAAAATTAAATACACGTAATATCTTACTATACCCTTTTCTCCCCCAAGTGATAATTCGTGATTTTTTGTCAAACCCTCTACCCCTAAAAACCTAACGTGTTAATGCATGCCCTCTTAGCAAATTTGTTTATAGCAAAAATTCGAATCTAAAATCAAAATTTCGAAAATCTAACGACGCAATGCGAGGTATGGGTTTGTAACTCGAATTTTAGAGATTTATTCGCAATAATAAGACTCAAGTTTAATGCAAGTTTTCTATTCAAAGCATCAAATCATTGTATCGATTTTTGTTTAATTTGGGTTAACTCGATATAGATTTTCAAATAAATTAGTAATCGATTGATATATAACCATTTTCCTATTTCTCGTGCATGTCTGTGATACTAAAATCTGTGATTTACACCTTCTTTCACATCTCTTATACTATTTACAGGCTAATTTATTTATATATACATATATATAACCATTAATGTTTATATATTTTATTTGATAGCAAAAACAAAAACAAAAGGAGTTGTTGTAGTGGATCCTTTTTTATTTTAAAATGTGTACACGCCGTTTCCTCGTGTCATATATTTATATATATACACCTACATATAAAGAAAAATCTGTGATATTTTTTGAAAATATATAATTGAAAACGATTTGCAGTTCTATGAAACATAGAATGACTGTCAATAAAGATTTTGCTTTGATATACTAGAAGTTTTATTATATCTATGCATATCATATTTATGTTATTTAAACAAGAAAAAAGGCATTCGATGCCCTTTTAGTTTTATTCTCGATTGTTGGTTATGATATGTGCATAAATGTTTTTACAGGAAAAGATAATATTTAGTATCAGATAATTAATTTTATATTTTTAAGTGTTGTAAATATTGCATTTAAATTGTTACTAACGAAAAGATGTTTTGTATCTTATAAGTATGTTTTCAGATTTTTTCAATCAACATTATCTATGATTATGTATTTCCGAATTAGTTTGTCATATACATAGTGCATTCACGAAGACAGATTATTTATTTTAAATAATATTAGCTTATTTACAGCTAAGCAATTTTTGCTCGATCCAAAAACATTTCAAATGAGAGTTTAATGTCACAGTTCTTTGAGAATCATGCTGTATCGATGTCAATTGAGACTTGTATGCTTCTTTTTTATCGAATATATTTTTGATCGATATAATCGATAACTCTAACTAAAATAATGTCGCTAAGAACCAGTAACTTCTTTTACGAATATATAGAGATTTCAACATGTTGTTCACACAATTTTTATTTATTTTGGAACGCAGACAGTGTTTACATATGTGTTTTGTCACGCACAAATAAATTACAGTGGCATCTCGACTTACGAGTGTTTTGTGATACGAGCCGCCAAAAAACGTTTCGTTGCCTCGTTGTACCAGCAGAATTTGAGATACGAGCTTTGAGCAAGTGAGAGTTTTTTTTAGAAAAATGTTAATGGCAAAATGAAAATATGAAAATTTTCGTCAGTTGTAACATTGATTTTTTTATAATGAAAATAATTTGGCTGTTTCATGATAGTAAATTTGAGTTACGAGCTTTGAGCAAGTGAGTTTTTTTTTTTTAGAAAAATGTTAATGGCAAAATGAAAATATGAAAAATTTCGTCAGCTGTAACAGTGATTTTCCAATCATGAAAATATTTTAGCTGTTTTATGGTAGTAAATGTATACATATTGTGTAGTAATCACGCGAATATATCAAGGAATATTTAACAATTGAAATTTTAACTATACATTAATAGTGGTTGTGCGGTTATATATGTTGAGTTCGCGTTTTTTCTTGGTTTTTGTACATTTACAAAATATGGTACAAAGAAAAAGTCCATGACTCTTCAATTAAAAATTACTGAAAAATCTAAGGTTGACGAGGATGTACTACCATAAGTATGTACTGTGTTTAAACAGAAGGATTTAATAAAAGGGTATACGTATAAAGGCTTTAAATTAATTTACAAGCAGCTTTCTAAGCTCTAAAAGTTTGTGGATAAAAATCCACCCGAAAAAGTTGCAACAATTCAAGCATGGGAGTTGTAAAGTGGAATATGTATGTCTTACTTTCATTCAATTTCTCAATATCATAAATGAGCAGGGAAAATAATAATTAAATTAATAAATAGTAAATTTATTTTTAATATTCAAAAAACTTGACAAAAATCACAGTGCTGGAACGAACTAACAGCATTTCAATGTACTTATAGGGAAAAACTTGCTTCGAGATACGAGCATGGTTAGACAACGCATTAAACTCGTATGTCGAGGTACCACTGTATATAGAAATATATTGAAGCATTCAAGAAATTATGTGGAAAATAAATATTTGTATGGGAAGAACGGTGGAAGCCCAGTGGTTCTCGACCAGAACTTAAATAAAACAAATTTAAAGAAAATTTAAACAAATATGTATTTGCTCGCTTAATTTTTATTTTTTCTTACGTTTACGATTCCTGAATGCAGTTTTTAGCATACCCTATTTCATTTTTCTGGTTACATTGTTATTTTTAAGTAGATTCCACTTTTTTTGTGAGTCAACAAGAATCGACTGGGGTATCAAACAATTATAAAATACGTATGCCAGACGTATAGTTTAAAATGTAGTTTTTTTTAAACTACAAGACGCAGATGTCTAGGAAAATCGTAAAAAATATTCTACACCAAGTTTTTAATCAAATAGTATGATAATTTCTTATAGTCAAATTGGATCTTTTGGAATTGTATTCGGATATTACCTATTGGGGTAGAAAAGTGAATCAATAGTCTTAATTATTTTTTATTTTAATTGTTTGATCAAAGACCTTCGACAAAATCGATTGAAGATTGTCGAGTAAATTCCAAAGTTTAGTAATATGTAATATCTAGTGGTTGTTGATTTGTTGCTAATGAAATCAAGAAAAAATGGGCAGGTTTCAGTGGATTGTGATGAGCAAATTCTAACATGGACTTTTTGTTCTTGTTTCAAATTAGTGAAACAACTTTTTAATTTTAATATTGTAAATTTTCACCGAATTTTCAACCACACGAGTTCTAATCTAAGTGGAACAACTAATAATACTAAAACAAAAGAAAGAGTGCATTTCTTTGGACGTCCAGGATATAATTAGAACTGACGAACTAAATGTCAAACTTTTAGTTTGACGATCTCATCATTGGTTTTAATAATCTCTGATCAAATTTGATATTTTCTAAAGATTTAATTTTTCGAGAACATCTAATTTAGACTAAAATCTAGCCAATATTTGGCACAAATAAATAATCTATAATTAAATATCAAGTCGCCAATAGAATCAACACAGCAAGTTGAGAATTCTTTAGTAATCTCAACTAGTGGAATTAATTGGTTATCACTGGATATACTTGATTCACTGTGATGAAGACCACATTTTACAAATCCACCAAATGAATTTGTAATTTTGTTTCCAAAAATAAACGACATGGACACAAACAAAACTGCTACTAAAACAAATTTTGGATCAAATTTACCTGAAATATTTGGGGCAGCTGAAGTTTCTTCAAACAGACTTATTAAAACCTCATTTAACACGATATATATATATATATATATATATATATATATATATATAAGATAATAATCGTCAAACAAATTTTTTTTAGTATTAATTTCATTTATTTTGTTTTTACGAAGAAACCTGTTGCAAGATACAATCGGGTACGAAGTATGGTATTCTAATTATATATATATATATATATATATATATATATATATATATATAAATTGTATTTATATGTATGTGACAATAAAAATTTATGTACATATATTTATAAATACACACTCACACACAAACACAAATGTTTATATATTTTTCTTTCTTAAAAACTATTTACCAACTCACCTTTTGCGCTTTTACAAATAAACGAGACTGAAATTTACAAAAACTTGGTTCTGGAAATTTAATATTTTTGTATTTATTTATAAAAAAAGAATTGTTTGATCGTGATATGAATTTTTGCGGGAGTCCAGAGCATTTCAAAAATCATAGTATGTCTTTCAAAATTTGTTACTTCAAACTCGATATCTTCTCTTCAACTTAACCAAATATTTATAAATAGTTTTCTATAAGAATGTATCTCCCCATAGTCTCGTTTATTTCGAAGCGCCCCTCACACAAATGTTTATTTTCTTCCAATTTTTCCAAATTTTTCGCCGAACTCGTGTTTTGTCTTCATTTTTTTTTTGTTAACACATCCCACAATACGCGTATGTTTTTTGTTGCCCCCCGACAGGTTGCTCCCGATGCCAAATTACCCGTACTCTATCTGATCGATTCCATCGTCAAGAACGTCAAGGGGGCCTATCTGCCGATGTTCACGCAATGCATCGTCAATCTATTCTGCGGAGTCTTCGAGAAGGTAAGAGATAAATTATAACCGATATCCTTTGTTCCTTTCCTATCCAAAGTTATATCCAAATGCTGAGGGCTTTCTAAAGGACCGGAAGACTTTGCCATCTGGAGGTAACTTGTTCCTTAGATTCTACATGTTTGCTCCAATCTAGGTGCTTCTGGATTTTTCTGGTGTTGATTCCCAGATCCCCTTTTATCCTGTCCTGTCTAAAATCTTATCCAAATGCTGAGGGCTTTCTAAAGGAGCGGAAGACTTTGTCATCTGGAGGTATGAGGATGGTGATTTGCTAAATGTGAATCTTGAGTTGTTTCTCAAAATCTATATTTTTGTTCCAACCTAGGAGCTTTTGGGATTTCCTGATGTTGATTTTCAGATTATTGATCAAGATTGTTTTTTTTATCCACATCAATTTGGTCATCGATCACTTTTTATTCCTTTTTGTCCGACCGTGTTGATGGTTTCTTAAAAAAAACTTGCTTGAATGGGAGACTTATGATGATGGTGATCTTCTTCGAAAGCTTCTAAATGTGTGTGCAACTTGTTCCTCAGATTCTATATGTTCACTCCAATCTAGGACTTGCTGGATGTTTCTGATGCTGTTTTTTAGACTGTTGATGAATTTTTTTATTCACATCCAAATTGGTCATAGATGGTCCAACGATATTGATAAATATCAAAACACTGTGTCGGTCGAATAGAAGATTTTGTCACTTTGGTGATTGAGAAACTTGATGTTTAAATATTCGTTCAACATCCATATCATGGCTTCGAGATCTGAGGATTTTCATCGAAACCGTTTTCTCATTTTGGATCTAAGTTGCTGCTCACAATTTGCAGCTGTTTGTCGAGTAGATTACATGAGGCTGGTGATTTTTTTAAACCAGTTTCTGAATCTGGATCTCACTTGAGATTTTATATATAAGCTCCAATTCAGAAGCTTTTGGATATTTTTGAAGTTGAAGTTTTTTAGCCACTTCACTTTTGGACACATCTAATTTGGTCATCGATGGTTCAACGATGTTGTTACATTCTTAAAGCAATGTGTGTCTTCTACAGAAGACTTTATCACTTTGGGGCTTGACGAATTTCATAATTTTATCCTTTGTCCAACATTCATATTATGTTTTTATAGATTCCCAGAACAGTATAAGAATATTTGTTATCTTTGTAAGATTTGAAGCAATAGTTGTTTTTCTTGACTTGATTTTTTCTATTTGGATTCAGCTTGTTTACTTCAATTTGCAGAGAGTTTTTTTGATATTTTTGATGTTTTTCTGATTGTTGTCTAAATCGATCCACATCTAATTTAATTTGGCTATCAGTAGCTTCATTTCTAACCAAATGCAAATAAGTCCTGAGAGATTTTGGTCATCTTTGGCGTGTTTATTTCAATTGTAAATATTGTCTTTGATTTTTCATGGTCCTGGTTTAGTGGTAACTTATTTCCTAGTTCTTTCTTCATGGTGATTTACCAAGGACCAAAAATAATTCTTTTAATCCAACCAATCTTGACAACATTGGATGCTAAATTATTTATTTTTATGTGCCTTATATTCTCAATTATTTTACCATCATTTTTTTACTCTTTGTAGCTTCAAACATTATTTAATAGTCTTCAGGATCATCTCAACTGCCAAATTCTTCTCGTAAGTTTGTTCAAAATATTGGATAGGTTTGGACAACATTGTTATCCATTTATTTTGAATAAAGTATTTCTTTGTTATACTGGATAACTCAATGTCTGTTCGTCTTTCTCGATTCTATTTGCCAAATCTTTTTTGGCAAGTAAAGAAGATCATCTTCTGCAGTTTGATCCTCGACCTCACGAAGACAATTTTTCTAGTATCCTATAGTCTGCTAATTTATTTCAGAGTTTCGAAAAAACTTCTGCTGATGTGATAAGGTTATTGAAAAATCTTGATCAACCAATAATCACCAATGAAAGAACTTGTGTATTGACATCAACACAAGTTTTTTCAAAACTCTTAAATTAATTAGCAGTTTATAGGAATTCATGAGGCCATGAAAATAAATCAACAAGATGAATTTCTTTATCTGCCAAGGAAAGATGTAAATTTGTTGAATAATTCAGGAGTTTTTATATTTTGATTTTGAAGGAAATGTTTATTCTACTACATTGTTCCGACACATGGTTACACTGGGTAACATTTTGGACGACAAAATTTCTCTTAGTTAAATTCTCCAGTTTGACCATGTGTCGGAGCAATGTAGTAGACTTAACATTTTCTTCAAAATAAAAAAAGCTAAAAGCTCCTGAATTATTGGACAAATTTACATCTTTCTTTGGTAGGTGAAGAAATTCATCTTGTCGATTTATTTTTATGGCCTCATGAATTCCTATAAAATGCTAATTTGTTTACGAGTTTTAAAAAAAACTTGTGTTGGTGTTAATACACAAGCTTGTTCATTGTCGATTGTTGGTTGCTGCATGAAAATCGTTTCTAAAAGAAACTGTTCAATATTTTGAATAAGCTGATGTTATAAGTATGCAGAAGTTCTTTTGTAACTTTGAAATAAATTAGCAGACCATAGGATACTAGGAAAATTGTCTTCATGAGGTCTAAAAAATAGCTGAACAAGATGAACTTCTTTAGTTGCCAAAATAACAGATTCGAGAAAGACGAACAGACATTGAGCTATCCAAAGAAAACTATATTCAAAAAAACGATAACAATGCTGTTCATTGTTAATTGTTGGTTGCTACATCAAGATCGTTTCTAAAAAAAACTGTCCAATATTTTGAAGAAACTGATATTATAAGTAGGCAGAAGTTGTTTTGAAACTTTGAAATAAATTAGCAGACCACAGGATACTAGGAAGATTGTCTTCATGAGGTCAAGAAAATAACTGAACAAGATGAACTTCTGTAGTTGCCTTAGACCATAGAAAGGATACAGTTTGGTGGTCTATCTTGGTTCTCAGTCAGCATCACTTGTTCCACTCACTAGATCCAAATTTCCACATTGCCTTTAAAAACAACCTTGAATGTTTCTCCTTTACTCTACTGACCTCTGCCAACTCACTCCTTTTATCCAAAACTTTTTTGTCCAATTACCTTTATCGACTTATATTCAATTTATGATATCCTTTATTTTTCTTCAGGTGAACGAGCGAGTAAGGGCCAACATGTACAAACTGCGGCAGACGTGGGGCGAAGTCTTTCCCCAAATCAAATTGTACGCCTTAGATTGTCGTGTCAATTGCATTGATCCAGCATGGCCAATCACTGCTCGTCCTCCAACTGGAGGCGGTGGAGGAGGAGCAGCAGCAGCCGTTGGAGGTGCAGGAGCAGCTGCTGCGGCTGGTGGACCTGCTGGCACTATACATGTCAACCCGAACTTTCTAAGGGTAAGAGGAATTGATAGTTACTAGGGTTTATACAAAAGCCGACATTTCAGGAAACCGGGTTTCGAATTTTAAGTTTACTAAAAAACCGATTTCAACCGGTTTTCGAATTTTATATAGAAAATAAATTTTTGCTCGAATATTCTGTAATTTATCCGCAAATTTAGTTCGATTTAAGGGGCACAGCTAATGTAACCGCTTGAAGAAAGGTGATTTTTGGGAATTTATATTAAAAATCTGTTCACACACACATACACAAACTTTTTCCAAATTTGGTCTCATTCGATTCAAAATGGCTTGAAACGTCGAGAAAACATAAAATTAGCGAATCGAATTTTTTTATGAAAACATAAACTTCTCCTTCGGGAAGTTAAAAAAAATACTTCAAATTATTTCAAATTCTATTTCAAAATTTTAAAAATATATTTACACATGTTTTAAGAATCCATAGTAAAATTTAAAGAAAAAAATTAAATATTTTTTAGTTAAATTAAATATTTTAAAGTTATCGTCGATCTCCAACGACGCGAAAAAAAGGCCCTTCACCGCTGCAGTGATTCCGTCCTTCTACGTGGATGAAATTTAAAAAAAATATTCTCGTTAAACTAGATAATATTGCCTGTAAAATGCCCTACGAATAAGAAATTGACAAAATGGCGGCGTTTTTTTTTTTTTTTTTAAAAAAGTCGAATTTTACCCAAAATTTTGGTCGTTTTTGGACTGCCAAAATTCGTTTTGATCCGATCAAAAAATCGATAGTTTATTTTACGGAGAACTATGTCTCGTATATAGAACATGTAAAAAAAATCGATAGTGATCAAATCATTCGTTTTAGAGTAATCACTGCAGCAAATTCGGAAAATGCTGTTTCGAGAAAAACGCGTTTAAAGATAAAATGATCCTTATACTATATACTCTATATATATACTCTTTGAATGGCTGTGACTCAAAAACTATTTAAGATATCGATTTAAAATTTTGGTATGTTATTTTTAAAGGTATAACCTATAGAAATATGGAAGAATTGAAAACTAGATTTTTTGAAAATTTCACACTAGTTGTACCCCTCTTAATCTATACCCCTAGTATTTTTTATTCCGAGCAGTTTTAATTAATTAATTTTAAAAATTCCAATTATTTGTTTGTTTAATAATATATGATTTTAAAAAAACTGAGAACGTCTATCGATTTGTTTCTTAGGCGTGTCCTTCGTTTTCTCACAAAATTTTCCGAAATAGAAATAAACTCTCTTACTTGCGACCAAACTAGACCTAATAAAGCCTGAATAGCTTTTTGTTCTTTTATTTGTGGCTTCTAGGGCTAAAATCTCTTTTTTTAAAGTTTGAGTAAAGAAAGTTACTTCTTCAAGAAGAAGTCATACTTATTTAAATTAATATATACACTGGTATAAAAATCTAAATAAATATTTAAATTGGACAAAATAAAACACAAAACCTTTCTAGGAACCATAGTAAACTGATAAGATTCCAAATGCAATTGAACCGATATGATTTCAAGACTCAAAACGCTTTCATATATCTTTTATTTTTGGCTATATTTATTATTTTCCTTTTAAACAGTGAAAACCGACCTTTTCTACTAAAAAACCGGTTTCCTAATTCCATAATTTTCGTCAAAAAAAAAAAACGTCGGTTTTAGAAAACCGACAAACCCTAATAGTTACATATTCCAAGTGTGTATTTTTATGAGAGTTAATGATTCTTTTTTTCCAGCCTGGTAGTAATCCAGCATCAGCCATCGTGGCAGATGATCCTGCAGCAGCTCTAATGAAGCAGCAGCTGATGAGCAAGCAACACGAGCTGCTGATTTTGGAAAGGAAAAAATTAGAGTTGCAATTGTTGGCAACGAAAAAGGTTCTCGAGGAACAAGAGAGGGAACTGAAAAGGAAGAGCGGGGAAGTTACTGGAGTTTCGGTCAGTTCAGATAAAATATGAATGAAATATCACTTTTGTTTATTGTTTTATTAATTGCGATGTTGGCTTAATATTTTTTTCTGTAATTTTAGCTCGACAAAGGCAAAGATGTTGCACCAGCATTGGTTTCTGTGTCTGATGCTTCGCTCAAACCAGCTGTTCAACAAGTAAGTAACCAATAAATTTATATTTTTTGTATTTTGATGTAGAACTAGTGGTGTATGGCATCGTGCCATTAGGCAAATTGCTGGAACTTCCCGTAATAAACATGATTGTTTAAAAACAAAGATTAAATTTTTTTAAACTTTGAAAAAATTAGATTTTTGAGAAATTTTCAATTTCTGAAAAAAATTTACTGTTTTGGAAAAAAAAACTTGAAAAAAAAAACTATTATGTATTATTCTTATATGTTGTATGTTATTATTATTCTTATATTTTTTTTTTATTTTTAAGTATTTTGGAAATTTTGATCTTTTTTTTCCAAAGCGATCGCACTGCTTTAGCTGCATACAGATAAAATATTGAAGCGCGTAAGCGCCGCGTCGCAGTCCGTAGGATGAACGTTATTAAAGAACCCATGTAATTGTAAATGGATACATATTATTAAAATCTCTATAAAATATCTGATAATTTGATGTGCATATCTCTAATGATCATTTTTGACCGCCAAATAGGATTTTTTTTTACTCTTTTTACTATATCTCCGAAACCGCTAGACCTGCCTTCCCAAAAATTTAATCAGTTTTTCACTTCATCAATACAAATAAAAAGTTTTTTGAATCGGACACTCCTCTTAAAAACTGAGTAATCATTTTACACTTTTTGCCCCGTTTCTTCGAAACGGCTAGACCTGTCTTCGCCAAAAACTAATCAGCTCGTCTCTTTATCAATACGAATTGAATGTTTCTTTAATTTTTCAAATCGGTTGATCGTTGGATAAATTATAGTTAATCGCAAAAAAATCGAAAATTTTTGCTTATCTTTACGTTTCAAAGGTTTCTGAACATTTTGGCATACTTCAGAAAAAATGGATGTGTGTGTGTGTGTGTTTTGTATGTCCGCATTTTTTCGTCCACGTTGTCGGGCGCACGGATCAACCGATTTGAATAATTTAAAAAACATTCGATTCCTATTGATAGGGAGATGTGCTGATTAGTTTTTGGCAAAGGCAGGTCTCGCCATTTCGAAGATACAGAGCTAAATGTGCAAAAAATGGCACTTTTCGAGTGAACTAAGCGTCCGATTTGAATGATCTAAAAAACTTTCTGCTTGTATTGACAAAGTAATTGCTTTTGAGGATAAAAAATTATTACATCTTTTTTTATTTTCCATAAAATATTTTTGTAATTTTGGATTAAAAAATTAAAAAATCACCCAGGCTAAGCACAGTCTAAGTGCCACTCTGGTACAAATGTTTACCCAAGTGCATTTAGACTGTTTTTCAACTATTTTTTTTTTGAAATTGAATTCGAAATGAAATGACGATTGTTAATGTTCTGGAGATTGAACTGAATTGATTTATGATTTACATTTGATTTGCTCAGATATAACAAAATAGCAAAAATAATGAAAGTTACAGTATTTGTAATAATATATTTGAAAACGTTTAAAATTTCTCGAATATTTCATTACGGTATGGTAAGTTCCAGCGATTTGCCTTGAGGCACGATGCCATACACCACTAGTTTTTATTGCTATAATATTAAATACTGGTACAGAAAGTTCCAGCAATTTACTTTAAGACGCAATGCCATGCACCACTAGTTACAGAATTTTTTTTAAAAACATATAGACAAGTGATGTGCCAATTTGAATCAAGAATAGAATTTTAGATTCTTATTTAAAGGATGTCACTAGTCAAAAAATTTGTTTCATTGTGTTAACTCTAATCGTTTCTATTAAAACACAATGTTCTCTTAATTATTTATTTACTCGAATTACACTAAGTTCTCTATTATACGTATTATGTTCGCTACTCTATACATTATTTATTTATTTATTTATTTATTTATACGCCAATCGACTTTATACAGTTTTATAACGTTGTTTACTAATTCATAATTATAAATATACACACATATATATATACATACATATACACATACACATCTACTTACATACAGATATACATACATATATACTCATATAATACGCATACATATACATACATGCACCTATATGCACATTCACATATAAGTACATAAATATATACACATACATACACGTAAACTTTATAAAAAACTATGATAATTAAGTAACATAAAATAATACATAATAATAATTATGTTCTCTTGTTTTGCTACACTAGTACACGTCCGCCTACTAGATTCACGCTGTCATTAGTACCATCATTCATACATCCCAACAGCGCTAACCTATTCATATTCATAGTTAATAATTGTTTTTTTGGAATTTTGTTTATTTACTGTGTCCTTTTCCCTTCTTTTCAGGATGCAGTAACTGTCCCCAAGTCCTTCGTTCCTCCTCCGGCGGTGTCTTCAGCCTCTGGTGTGCGCATTGCGCCCGTCAGTTCAGAATTGTTGCAAGCCTCTCGCAGAATCAGGGACCCCAGGCTGGCTCGGCAGCTTGAAAGTCAGCAGCAGCAGCAGCAGCAGCAGCCGATGACGACGACCCAACAACGCACCAACAACACATTATCATCGACAACGACAAAACCAATTGTTAATCCTAATAATGTATTTGATCTCTCTGTAAATATTTTCAATAAAAGTAACACAAACATAAAAAATGATCTGTCCGTAGATTATAGTAATAATAGTAACAACAAACGCTTCGGCGGCAACACAAATCCGACAAAAACAGGAAAGAAGACCATTCCCCATCCTGTGTCCGTGTCAAATGTTAATAGTAAATTTATTAACAGTAACAAAGTTAGTAAGCAGGCAACGAAATCGAACAAAAGTAGTAGTGGCGATTCGTTGCGCTCGAAAAAGACATCGTCGTCCGATAAGAAATCCCAAAAGAGCAGTGTTAATAAAAGTGGTAAAAAGTTTAGAGACTCTAGTAGTTGTAGCGTTAGTGCGATAAAAGACAAGTCCTCGCCGAGGAAGAGCAGTAGTGACAATGGAAACAGTGGTGGCGAATTGTCCCCTCCCAAAAAGACTTCGAGGGATTCGGTCAAGATCAAATCCCCAAAGTTTCCTCCCAAGCAGAACAGGAGGGTTCGTTCAAATTCGGATGACGAGGAGGACGTCGAAAAGAATGGAGCTGGTGGTGCTGCTTCCAATAAGACTTTGACCAGGGATGTCGATTTGAGGGTCTTGGCACCGCCTCCGGAGAAGCAAGCCAGGCTGCAGGCTCCTACCAACACTGTACCGAGTAAGAATCTTTACATCAACTTTGGGATCGACTACTTTTATACAACATTATTGATTCGTGTATAAAGGATTCGAAGAGTTTTGTGGAAATCACATGTGATGTTAATAATAAAAATAAATATTGTGCGAAATTGTAAATAAAGCATTTGGCACATTTAAAATTAAATTTTAAGATGAGTTTGTTAAATTTTGTTGTGTAATCAGGAATCAATAATGTCAGATAAAATAGTCAAGTATTTGTATTTAAATTAAATATTTTTGTCTTCGCACATTTTACACACTGACATGCACACACACACACACAAATGTATTATAAACAATACAGGCATTCATTTAGTTAGAAGCGTCCATTAATCACGTGATCGATTTTTAAGGATTTTTGGATTTCCTACCTCTCGGTGAATCGTGGTGATATTCAAAATTACCCACGGCCCCCCCTCCCCGACAAACATCACATGCATTTTTAGTTAAGAGAAAAAATGGTAAAATTTTTGTTTTTTTTGAAAATGTTTGGATTTTTTTAAAAACTTCAGGTAAAAAATAAATACGCGTAATTTTTTACTAGACCCCTCGTTCCCCCACGTGATATTTTGTGATATTTTGTTAAACCCCCCCTCCCCCTAAAAACCTCACTTGGTTAATGGACACTCCCGATCGATTTTTTAAGAATTTTTGGACGCCCATCCCCCTTGGTGATACGTGCAGATATTTAAAATTACCCCCACCAAACATCACGTGTATTTTTAATTACGAGAAAAATTCTAAAATTTTTGATTTTTTTTGTAAATGTTTGGATTTAAAAAACTTCTGATAAAAAATAAATACACGTGATATTTTACTGGACCCCTATCTCCCCCGCGTGATATTTTGTGATTTTTTGTTAAACCTCCCCCTTTGCCTAAAAACCTTACGTGATTAATGGACACTCTTTTATGGGGCGTCCGTTAATCACGTGATCGATTTTTTTTAAGGATTTTTGGAACTCCCCTCCTCCCCCGTTGTGATAGTGCCGATATTTAAAATTACCCCCACCCTCCTTTGCCCACCAAACATTACGTGTATTTTTAGTTACGAAAGAAAATTATAAAAAATTTTATTTTGTTTTTTGAAAATGTTCGGATTTTTTTTTTAAACTTCAGGTAAAAAATGAATGCACGTGATATTTTACTAGACGCCTTCGTCCCCCACTTGATTTTTTGGTAAACCCCCCCTTCTCCTAAAAATCTAAGAGTGTCCATTAATCACGCGATCAATTTTTTAAGGATTTTTGTTTAAAAAAACCTTTACTCTTGGTGATATTCAAAATTAACCCCCTACCCATCATCAAACATCACGTGTATTTTTAGTTACGGGAAAAAAATTGTAAAATTTTTTATTTTTTTGCAAGTGTTTGGAATTAAAAAAAATCAGATAAAAAATAAATACACGTGGTATATTGCTCTACCCCCCTCCCCCCACGTGATATTTTGTGATATTTTGTCTTATATTTTTTGTCTTGTCTTTGTTTTTCATTTAAAAAAATACCCCCAAAAATTAACAAAACAAAATACTGTATTTTTTGTATTTGTGTTTTTTAACAAGTTTTTCAATTTTGCTTCAATTCAGTTTGTTTATTTTTATATAAATGTTTTACATTCAATTTAATTCCAGAAACATTTCTTGAAAAAAAATTATATTCGAATATTTGTTTTGTTTTCAGTAAAATTTGACTGTGCCCAATTTGTACTTTACATACCCCGTTTCATGATATTTGATAGTTATAGATTTTTATAGATATATATAAATTTAAATGATGATTTAAAAAAAAAAAAGATTTTCAATGCAAAATTGTTCTCATTTCTTATTTTCTCACTACTCATTTTTCTTGTTTTTTTATTAGTGATCTTTATGTGATCAATATTTTGTTGTATTGTTTCTGAAGCATTCAGTGTCATATAAATATCTTATTTCAGATAACATAAACTTTCTATGTTTATTTTTGCGAAACTAATTAGGGGGCGTTCATTAATCACGTGAGATTTATTTGAATTTTTCAAGAAGGGGTGGGTCTGACAAAAAATCACGAAATATCACGTGGGGGAAGGAGTAATAAAAATAATAATAGTGATTTTTTTTTAAATCCAAATATTTTCAAAAAAAATCAAAAATGTTATAATTTTTTCTTGTAACTAAAAATATACGTGGTGATTGGTTAGAGGGGGGGAGGGGGGTTAATTTTAAATATCTCAAAGAAGAGGGGGTTCAGAAATCTTTAAAAAAATTGATCACGTGATTAATGGACGCCCCCAAATTAGTTTCGCAAAAATATACATAGTAAGTTTATATTATCTGAAATAAGATATTTATATGACACTAAATGCTTCAGAAACAATTTATTAATGGACATTTTTACTTTTTGATGGTTTCCAGTGTTTTATTCTAACTTTAGGATATGCACATTTTCTCTACTGATCTTAGTTTTTTGTCCAGTTTATTACTCACTGTTTATTTTCTTTCTATTATTCAACATTTTAATAGACAGTTCTATTTTCTGCAATTTGTGCCTATGTTCTTTCTTAATGCCTTCTATTTTGTCCATCATTTTTATATATATTTAATTAAAATTGACTTTCAACAAATGATTTTTCTCATGTTCTTTTTGGTTGGAATAATATACAATTTATCCTATGATTAATCTCCAAGTACAGACTAAGCCAAACAATTATTTATCTTCATAATTTATATTATTTTCATTTTTGTGCAGCCAATTAGTTGTTCCCTTGTAAATTGTTTTGCCTCCTGTTTAAATCCTTTGGCTGATAATAGAACTTTTGGATGAACAATTTCAAATAATGCACTTTGATTTACATACACACGTCTCCTTAATTTTTTGTCTTCAAAATGCACATGTTTAGATATAATGAGATATAATTCCAGAAGTTACACCAGTTGCAACAAAAGATGTGGATTTAAGACCAACAGTACCCACAACACTTTTACCAGGAACCAAGAAGAGAACATCACCTGAAAAACAACAAGGACAACCTGCGAAGAGACTGAAATCTGAAACATTCGACGTGTAAGTAACAAAAAACTAAAAATACTAAAAACAACTTTTACTTCCTACAACTATTTATAATAAATTTCTATTATCTAGTCTCTTCGGTAATGAAGATGTAGACCTCCGAAAGCAATCACCAGCAGCAGTAGGATCACTCTCACCAACCGACTCCCAGACTTCACCACAAACCATAAGTTCGGGTACTGGCACAGGCACCACTTCGTCACCAGGAAGCGCCCAAATGCGTGTTGAGAGCCCACCACCTCCTCCTATAATTTCTAAAGTATCAGATGATGAAGATGCTGAAGAAGACTCTGATGGAGTTGCCACTCCTAGGAAACCTGGAGAGAAGTCTACGACTGATACACTTGCTGCTTCCGGAGGAGCCAATGTTAAAGGTAAGGGTAGCAGAATAGACAGTTGATTTTGATTAAAACTAGAAAAAAATCGTAATTCACATGAAAATGTCTAATGTATGAAAATCGAAAATTAGTGATGAATGGCATTGCGCCTTAAGGGGGTATTCTACTGTAGAATTTTGAAAAAATCGAAAAAAATTTTTTTTCGTATTTTCAAAGTTTAGTTATTCAAAAATATGTCATTGAAAGGATTTTTCAAAATTATTATTATTTTCTGAGTTATAGCCGTTTTAGTGACGTGGCCTCGGTTCGGGTCCGACTTGTCTCAAAACTTTGAACGCGTTTTTCTCGGAACTACTTTTTTCGAGCTGGCGGTAAGGATATCTCGAGTTCTAATGAACCGATTTACTTCAAATTTGGAGAGGATCTTCTCTAACCATCGCTTTATCGTATGGACCTTGCCCAAAACTATAAATTTTCATTAGGTATTTTTAAAAAATTTGGAATTGTTAAAAAAACATGAAAAAAACTAATTTTTTTTTCAAACTGCCGTCATTCGAACAAAAATTTTTTTTTCAGCTTATCCAAGGTTCATACGATAGCGACATCTATTATAATTAAGAATCCATCTATTTTTTATGTTTCAAATCACCAGGAGGGTTGGAATCATGTACGCCAGGACACCCACTTTTTTTGGGAACCCCCACTTTGACGGATCAAAACTTTGTGAATTTTAATTATTTTTTTTTAATAATTTTTTTATATAATTTGACGGATCCTTTGACGGATCATAACTTTGTGAATTTTAATTATTTTTTTTTAATAATTTTTTTATATAATAATAAAATATCAATAAACAAATGATAAAAAAATAGATAGTAAAAATATTATTTGTTTCCTTTATACAGCGCTTCAAAAACCGGGCGAAATTCATGACTCTACAGTAGAATACCCCCTTAAGGGGCCGTTCAAGTATTACATAAGCACTATAGGGGGGCGGGCGGTTTATTGATTTGCTTATTTTGGGTTACATTTTGGTGACAGTTTTGCTTACTTTTGCTGACAAGGGGGATGGGGGCGGGGGTAAATAATTGTACTAAATCTGCTTGCGTAATATTTGAACGATCCCTAAGGCAAATTGCTGGAACATTCCGTATCAAAAATTGATTTTTTCAAAAAAGATTAATTTTTTTTTTAATTTTGAAAAAAATATTTTTTTGAGAAATTTTACAATTTTTGAAAAAAATTGACTGTTTTGGGGCGCAGAAAATCGGAAAAAATGTTTTTTTTATTTTTTAATATTTCGGATGTTTTGAACTTTTTTTTCAAAGCAATCGCACTGCTTTAGCTGCATAGAGACGAAATATCGAAGCGCGTAAGCGCCGCGTTGCCGTTCATAGGACAAACGATGTTACGGAACCTATAGGCATGTAAACAAAATTGATACACGTTATTAAAATCTCTATAAAATATCTGATAATTTGAGTGCATATGTTCAATGATCATTTTTGACCACAGAATGGCATTTTTTTACTTTATTTAATAGATCTTCGAAACCTCTAGACTCGCTTTTCCAAAAATTTAATCAGTTCTTCATCATGTTAATACAAGTAGAATGATTTTGAATTATTAAAATCGGATGCTCCAAAAAACTGAGTTACCGTTTTTGGCACTTTTAGCCCCGTATCTCCGGAACGGCTAAACCTGCCTTGGCTAAAAACTACTAATTAGCAAGTCTCCTTATCAATACGAATTGAATGTTTTTTTGAATTATTTGAATCGGTTGATCGGTGTTCTCGAAATCGACGAAATTTATATACATCTTTTCTAAGATATGCCAAAATGTTCAGAAGGTTTTTAAACATAAAAATATATAAAAATTTTCATTTTCTATTTTTTGCGATTACTATAACTTACCCTACGGGAAGTTAACTAGAAAAAAATCCTGAATTTTTACATATTGTTAATAGAAAAAAGAATACGTAAAGCTAAACTAATCGATTTCATATAAAAAAAAAAAAAAAATATTACGCGGCATACATCATCACGTCATAGTTCATTTTTGTTATTATTTTTGTATTACTGTTTTTATTTTATTTTTATTTTAACTTTTTTCATTTTATATTCAATTTATTGCATTTTTTTGTATTTTTGTATTTTTTGTTGCTCATATCAATTTTGTAAATAAGACATTAAAGTCTTGATTAACAAAAATAAATTGTAACAAAAAAAAAAATATATATATATATATATATAAAAAATACAGATAAACCCCGCATAACACGGTACTTCTATAACACGGTTTAAGAATTGATACAATTCCCCTTATAACACTGTACTTAACACGGGTTTGCTCTAACACGGTTTGAGAATTGAGCAAAACACTAATTAAATAAAAAATATAGTAAAACTTATGAAAATCAAACTTATTTAATCTAAAATTAGTAAAATCTAATATAAAAAATTAAAGGATGATACCTTGCAGAAAATAAGGATCGTGTCGGATAGCACTTACTTGTTAATTATGACGAAAAAAAATCATATAATTCATGTAATGTATATTACTTATTTCTTCTTTTCTTCTAAAAATAATAAACAAGAGTGCGCGTAAGGATCACACGCGATTGAAGTAAAACTTTTTTGCTATTGTACAATATGGCATTTAAGTTAAAATAAATATATTATATAACAATTTTGAATAATGTTCAATATCATTAATTTGAATCATGCTCATTTATTAGTGTCGACCATTATACACATTTATATAATGATAAATTAGAAATTATATATTTAAAATAGCATTAAAAATATGTATAATATTATTATAATAATGTAATTAAAGTCATACTTCAAATATGACATGATCGGCTTGTCATTGTAATTAGCATTTAGAAATGAACCTTCGTTAGAGAAATGAAGTAATTGCTCATTAATAAATTCTATAATATTCGTTCACACAGTGGATTATGTTGAACAACGCCTAAACAAATATTGTTTTTGTAACTTCACTCATCATGTAATAATTGTGTTTGAAGAACTTCATGTAATTAAAATTAACATACATTCATTGACTGCTTGTATTTTTTTTTACTTTTTCGCTGGCAATATAATCTCATTCTTTGAACAGCTGTAATATCTGTCTTACCTAAAAAATATTTTTCATTTTAAAAACTTCAATGATTTATAGAAACTATAAATAATATGGAAATAATTTTCAATCAAAGCACTTACGTTTAGTACACGGCACAAATATTTAATTTGTTTTATTATTTTCAAGGAACAGGATAAAATATTCTTGTGGTTCAGGCATTTTTCATTGAATCAAGATTAGTACTACGATGTAACTTTAAAATGTTTATCTATGCCGATTTCCTTGTTGATATCGGTACGCGTACAACGTTGATGTCGGTACGCATACAACGACAGATCTCTATTCACATACGCGACGACCAATCACAATCGCCCCTATAGAAATCTTATTTTCGAGAGCGAATGACGAATCATTGGCACTCGACTCTTATCCTTTCTTATCTGCCGCAACGCATTTCCGTTGCATTTGTACGGATTTACACCCTAGTCGCGCCTAAAGAAGTTTTACTTCAATACAACAATATTTATTATAAAATCATGATTTGTAGCACGTTTTTTTTAATTCTTGGAACCTAACCCCTTTTTTTGTACTAGCTCTTTGTCCCGTATAACACGGATTTGCATAATACGCTACTTTTTTGGAACGTATCTACCGTGTTATGCGTGGGTTAACTGTACCTGCACCAATTTTCGAGTTGGGTATTTTGACCCGCCCCACTTATAGTGTGTTTATATCATATTTTTTTTAAATGTGGTTTTTATTTTGAAGGAGACAGTTGGGCTAAAGTAAAAGTATCCCCAGCCATCACACCAGCATCACCCGATAAGGTTTTGCTTAGCGGAACTCAACTGTCGAACTTTGAGGCTGTTCGGGCAAAATTGGCTGAAGCCACAAAGACCAGAGATAAGTTGGGCAGACCTTTACTTTTTGGCAAAAATAAAGGTATGTTTCACCAACACTGCCAACACTTTAGTTTTAAATATCAATTGATTTAAGTGTTTTGTTTTTGTAATTTCAGAACGTAGATTATTCGGCGACTCAGACGACGAACGTTCCAAATTCCGTCCAGGTCGTCCTGAATTCGAGACGGATTCCCAAGACGGCATGGAAGATAATTTGAAAATCATCATGTCCCAAGCTCAGGAGCAAATCAACAACGGCAGCATCAATCCAACACAATACAACACATTGTTGAAACAATTGGTGCAGATTAATGAGAACAAGAAGTTGCAAGAAGCACAAAGAAGAGAATCCATGGGCAAATCATTATCGAAAAAAGGTCACAATGAAAGTTTGACGCCAATCAGCGATGATGAATTCGATATGGAGGATGATAGTAGTAATAGGTCGCCTAAGGATGATGTTTTGTCGCCACCACGTAACGAACCGTCTTTATCAGATACTTTGTTGAGTATTCAAGCCAACAACAGACTAAACAAGCGCCAAAATCAAAATCCTCCGATGTCGTTGGGGCAACCGTTGTTGAGGCGTGATCGTTTTGGTAATTTGAAACCTGATAACAGGTTTGGTAACAGGATGCCTGCACCACCTATGGGTGGTATGGAAAGACCTTGGCAGAGTCCGTGGGAAAACAATTGGCCTAGGGATACAGCTCCGATAAGACATCCTGTGGCACCAGTTTTACCTACACCGAATAGACGTGCTGCGAATTGGCCCAGTATTCCTAGAAATACAGTAGCTCGTTATGAAATGCCGTTTGTAAGATCCAAAGTACCTTTAAAACTTGGCTCGCTGAATATAAGTTTACCTCCACCGCCATTCCCACTAGTTCAGAGCATAAACAGGGACACGATGAAGTCTATTAATATTGATAGGGTTCCTAGAATGATCAGATTTTATGAGGATGATGTTGCTGTAGCTTTAATGAATTGGGACGATCCTAGAGAGATTGGTTTTCAGGATGGCAGTCGCAGGATTTGTATAGATAATCGTGATACGTACGTTTTGCATTTTAACAGGCCTTATATGCCTGTTAGTATAAATGGTGTTATGCATCAAATCAAATTCGGTTCACCGACAAGAGAGTTGTATGTGGACGGCAAGTTTTACGAAGGCTACTTTGGTGGTGCCCCGTTATTGGTACCAATTGACAACAAAATGGTTACAATTAAATTGGAAGGACCGCCGCCGCAGGTGCGTTTAGGAGTGCAGCGTAACGATTTGGTGGCTGGACAAATAACTTTGTTAATAGACGCCAAATATTCACACCCAATCTTTCTAGACGCCAAACCTCAGAAAGTAGAAATCGACAACGAAGTCGTCACAATAAGATTCGCCGACGCTTTCAAAACAGTTTTAATAAACGAGTTACCGTTCTCGGTGGAATTCGGAGGATTACCAAAGTCTATTTTGGTGAAGGATCGAAAACATTTCATCAGGTTTACCGTACTACCAAGGGGCATGAAGCCAGGACAAATGAATATTAGAAATATGGGTACTTATAAGCAGCCGTACATTGATTTGAATGACATTGAGATGCCTCCGATGATCGAGAATAATGTTCCATTGTTGCAACCCGTGAACCAGATGCCACCGATGATGCCTCCGATGAATAATGCAGGAATGCCCATGTTTAATGTGCCGCCACCAATTACAACTTTAACAGGTAAATAGTAAACAAAACTAGTTGGTTTGGTATTTAGCCTTAAGGCAAGTTGCTGGAACAAAATTTGCAAAACTTCTAAAAAACTAGATTCTTGAGAAATTTTGAAATATTTGAAAAAAATTGACTATGAAAATTTTGAATATTTTTTTAAGCCGAAAAACTGATTTGGAGACGCGTATTCGTAAACAAAACTAGTGGTGCATGGCATCGTGCCTTAAGGCAAATTGCTGGAACTTCCCTTACCGTAATTAAGCATTCGAGACATCTTTATTCATATGTAAAAAAATAATCAATCAATGAAAATTACTCAATAATTAATGACAATATTTTCAAATCGATTATTAGTTATAAATACGTACTTATAAGTGCTTATTAAATTACTTAAATTTGTTTATTTAATAATAACGATTTAATTTTTTTTTGATAATATTGAAAAATTTTTGGAATTTTTAAAAAAAACGTTTATTTTTTAAATTTTTTTAGGAATTTGAATTTTGTTTATTTAATAACAATGATTTTTTTTTATAATTTTTTTAAAATTCAAAAAAAAATTTGGAATTTTTGAGAAAAAAACGTTTAGTTTTTAAATTTTTTTGAGAATTTGAATTTTGTTTATTTAATAATGATGATTTAATTTTTTTTTTTGATAATTTTCTTAAATATTGAAAAAAATTTTGAAATTTGAAAAAAAAACGTTTATTTCTTAATTTTTTTTTTTGAGAATTTGAATTTTTTTAAAATATACGATTTTTTTTTTAATTAGAGTAGAAATCGCTTTTTTTAATTCTTATATTTTTTTAATTTTTCAAAATCAAGATTTTTTTTGAAAATCAACAAAAATTTGAATTTTTTGAAACATTAAAATTTTTTTGAAAATTATATATTTTTTTATTTCCAAAATTACGACATTGTTTCTAAAAGCCGGCTACACAAGCAAAATGTTTTTTGAATTAATCTAATCGGATGATGCGTTCTCTCAAAAACTACATGACCATTTTTGCACTCTGCGCTCTATACCTCCGAAACGGCAAGACGTGCCTTTTGCAAAAACGCCTTGCGATTGAGTACGAACCGAATGTTTATTTAATAATACAAATTGGTTATTACAAACTGTCGAAAATATCGAATATTAGTGAACTTCAAAATTAAAAATCTTGGTACGGAACCCAAAAAAATCGACACAAAATGTGTACGCATTATTAAAATCTTGATAAATTATCTGATAATTTGATGTGCATGTGTCTACTAAACATTTTTGACCACTGAATGACATTTTTTAACTTATTTTCATTGAGAGTCCACAACCGCTGGACCTGCCTTTGCCAAAAATTTGAACAGTTCTTTGTTTAGTCAATACAAATAAAATGTTTTCTGAATTATTCAAATCGGACGCTCCGTTCTCTTAAAAACTGAGTCATCGTTTTTGGCACTTTTTGCCAAAAACTAATCAGCACGTCTCCTTATCAATACGAATCGAATGTTTTTTGAATTATTCAAATCGCTCCATCCGTGTTCCCGAAATCGTCGACGAAAATTTGTATCTGCACACACGAACATACACGCACATACACACACACATACATCCATTTTTTCTAAGGTATGTCAAAATGTTCAGAAACTCTTGAAACGTAAAGATATATAAAAATTTTCATTTTAGATTTTTTTGCGATTACTATAACTTACCCTACGGGAAGTTAAAAAGGGTGTAACAGCTGATTTTTTTTTTTACTATGCTCCGTGATATTTTTTTTAACAAAGTTTTAACCGTTTTATTTTTATGATATTTTCAAAGACTAAGATTTGCAGGAAATTTTGCAAGTAGGCTAATCTTACCTTTGAGTTAAAAGTGAAAACAATTTGCACTCTGCCGCCACTCCCCGGGAAGTTAATGTCCTTGTTACTCACTAAGATCCCTTTATGTATAAATTGACATTGAGCCATTTTATCATTAAAAAATGTGGCTATTATAAGAGACATCGGAGCATGGTAAAAAAAAAATGACCCAAAATGCTTTGTTGACTGAAGTACACCTAAGTCTGTTTTTACACGGTCTTTTTGTACACGGTTTTGATATAACACGGTTTGAAAATTGAATATTTTTAATTTTTTACACGATTTTATTCCATTTAGCACGATTTGAAATTTTATGTACTTAATTTTTTTTTGTCAAATATAATTTTTGCGAAGTATGTTCATACCACAAAAAAGTATTTATGAAAGAAAAAAGTCTGAAACCATCGATAGTGTCGATAGTTTGCGAACACTAGCTTAAAGATTTGAGTGAATTCCCCTTTAGCGCGTACAAACAATTTTTACTGGTCAAAGCAAATGTGAATAGCACTAATTTAGGGGAATTTATATTACTTTTAAGATTAGAGAGCATATCTTTTTTATCATTAATTACTATGCTTGTGAAAATAAGCATTATATATTTGATTTAATAAAATAAACATGAATTCTTGTTTTTAAAAATTCTTGTTTTTCACTAATTTTAATAGGTTTTAGAGATTAGGAACAAATCACCCATTTTTGTATAAGATCAATGTCTTTTTTTACACGTTTTTTTTTACACGGCTTCTTCTGGAACCAATCTACCGTGTAAAAACAGACTTAGGTGTATTAATGATTCTATTATCTCTTTTAGGTGATATTCCACGTGTGCCCGACATTCCACCAAGCACAACAATACCATCGTCCATTCCATCAACAGTACCACCTCTACTACCACCCCCGTTACTGTCCATACCTCCTCCGATAACCACAATGGCTTCAACAAACGCTTCTAACATACCAGAAACAAACAATGTCGTGGATCCAGCAAGCGGTTACCAGATGGAGACCAGCAGCAACGCCTCCAATTCGAATTCACCAGCCATAGTCATCCACGATGACACTTCTCAGAATTCCAATCCGGAGAACTCCACCAGCACAATCGTTCCTGGTGCTACTGGCGGTGTAGTCTTACCACCAACAATAAATGTTAATGATCTTTTCGAGAAACTGGTAGCGTCTGGTATACTTCAAGGTGTTTCTGTGGCTGCTAACAGCACTGCACCGAGTGTGGAAGTTAAAGATAAGAAGGATGAGAAGGTTGAGGAGAAACCGGAGGAGGTTGCTAAACCGGTTTCGTTTGCTAAACCTGAAACATTGAAAGTGTAAGTAGATAGTTTAAATTGATAATATCCATTGATTATATTTATTAAGGGGCACAACTAATGTAACCGCCTAAAAAAAGGTGATTTTTGGGAATTTATATTAAAAAAAAAAAAAAATACTTTATCAATCATTTCACAATTTTTCAAAATTTTAATAATATATTTATACATGTTTTAAGAATACGTAGTAAAATTTTTGAAGAAAAAAATTAAACATTTTTTAAGTTATCGTCGATCTCCAACGGCGCGACAAAAAAAGCCCTTTACTGCTGCAGTGATTCCGGCCTTCTACGTGGATGAAATTAAAAAAAAAAATCTCGTTCCACTACTTAGTATTGTTTGTAAAATGACATACGATTAAAAAATCAAAAATTAACATAATGGCGGCGTTTTTTAAAAAAAAGTCGAATTTTACCCAAAATTTTGGTCGTTTTTGGACTGCCAAAATTCGGTTTTTGATCCGGTCAAATAATCGATGGTTCATTTTACGGAGAACTATGTATAGAACATGTAAAAAAAATTGATAGTGATCGGATCATTTGTTTTTGAGTAATCGCTGCAGCAAATTCGGAAAATGCTGTTTCGAGAAAAACGCGTTTAAAGATAAAATGATCGCTATAATACTATATATATACACTTTAAATGCCTGTGGCTCAAAAACTTTATAACTAAGATATCGATTTAAAATTTTGGTATGTTACTTTTAAAGGTATAACCTATCGAAATATGGAAAAATTGAAAATTCGATTTTTTGAAAATTTCACACTAGTGTGCCCCTTAACTAGTTATAGTAATGGGCCGAAAATCGAAAATGAGAATTTTTGCATTTCTCGACGTTTTGAAGGTTTCTGAACATTTTACTGGCATACCTCAGAAAAAATGGATGTGTGTGTGTATGTGTGAGTGTGTTTTGTATGCCCGCATTTTTTCGTCAATGTTTTGGGGCGCACGGATCAAGCGATTTGAATGGTTTAAAAAACATTTGATCCCTATTGATAGGGAGATGCGTTGAAGAGTTTTTGGCGAAGGAAGGTCCCGCTATTTCGAAGATACAGAGCTAAATGTGCAAAAAAATGGCAGTTTTTGATTGAACTAAGCGCCCGATTTGAATGATCTAAAAAACTTTATTCTTGTATTGACAAAACATTTGCTTTTGAGGATAAAAAATGATTACATATTGTTTTGTTTTCCATAAAATAGTTTTGTAATTTTGGATTAAAAATTCAAAAAATTACCCAGGCTAAGCACAGCCTAAGTGCCAAAATCTATTGAAAAATGCGAAAATGCCGCCAAGCTAAGCACAGTATAAGTGAAAATGTCGCACAGAATCATTTGCAAATACGTTTAGACTTTTTCAATTTTGTGTAAATTACGCAACTATTTTTTTTTTAAATTGAATTCGAAATGAAATGACGATTGTTAATGTTCTGGAGATAAATTGATTTATTTATAATTTACATTTGATTTGCTCAGATACAACAAGATAGCATGCAATAATGAAAGTTACAGTATTTGTAATAATATGTTTGAAAACGTTTAAAATTTCTCGAATATTTCATTACGCTACGGGAAGTTTCAGCAATTTGTCTTAAGGCACGATTCCATACACCACTAGTTTATTTTTTTTATTTTAGGAGGCAAGCGGTGTTCATCTCCAATTTGTACAAGGGAATGCAGTGTAGCAGCTGTGGTACTCGTTTCCCTCCAGAACAGACCATGAAATACAGTCAGCATCTGGATTGGCATTTTAGACAAAATAGAAGGGACAGAGATAGCACCCGAAGGCCATTCTCCAGAAAATGGTACTACGATGTCACTGATTGGGTGCAGTACGAGGAAATCGAAGATTTGGAAGAGAGAGGTTTGTCATAATTAATATCTATTATTCACATATCCATTCTTATATATAAAAATGGAGTTCTCGATCAAATGATCCGGTAAAACTCGAAAAAGGCTAAACCGATTTGGCCAGTCTTAGTCTTGAACAATTCGTGCTAATCAATAGGTTGTCGGAAAGGTGAGATATTATTTCAAAATCGCGTAGAAACTTTACATTTTTAATTTGAAAATTTTTGTAGAAGCGTAATTTAAATAAAACAATGGACGGTGGCTAATACGTCAAATGTCAAACGTTTCTGACAGATGATGTTCAATTACGTTTAATAGGATGTTTTATGTGAATATTATTTAATTATGATTAAATTGTAGTAAGTAGTTTTGTTTGTATTTTTATTTATACACAAAAACGTTATTAAACGGATCGCAAGTATTACTAGAGACTCAAAATATAAACTTTTTTGATATGTTAATATGAAAATGCACTTTTTGGCATATTTTTTCAAACACGGTGCTCTGAAAGATCTCATTTGTATAATTATATACTCATTGAAATTTATAAAACATTTTCTAGGTTATATTATTTTTTATTTATGTTATTTAAATTCAGAACCTAAATTCGGTATCGATCAAAGCGACATTTAGTCAAATAACATTTTCCCAGTTATAATATTCCAGAATTTATTGAAGAATAGATAGTAATATATGATGGTCCGGGGTTAAAAAGGTCCACCACCCATGTGTGAAAATCCAGTAAAGTTAAGCATTGTTTAACAACAATATTTTAAAGTAGAGGGAAAAAGATGTATAACTGGCTATAACCTTGATTCTTATGACTTTGCTATCGAGATGAGATAAACGGCAATTTTTGAAAAACCATAATAAAAGTAATTTTCTCTGTTGATAGTTTTTCAGCATTAGTTAAAAGTGTAATTATTTTGTAAAATACCTTTAAAATTAAAATAAACATTAAACCTGTTTGCCACCTGGCCGTTCTAAGTTACCCCTCCTATAGGGTTAAAAAGTCTAGATAACAAATTTTTGAAAGACAGCAAAAAAGCACATTTCTACAATGATGAAGTAGCTGGCAGTTTTACTGAACGTAGTCAGATAATTGTTCGTTTGAAATGTGTTATTTGTTGTGATATAATTGGTTTGATTATTATAATATAATTAATATCTGCTCAAAGTCAAATTGGACCTTTGTGTCTCGCCCTGCTCTACATATATACTTTTTAGTAAATTTAATTCATTGAATGTTACTTGAAACTTCAAAAAGCAGATCAAAGAAGAAATACTTAATACATTTCCTACCTCTCTTCGCATAAATTTGAAAATTTTGTATAAGCTCAATTGTATTATTTACAATTATACGCAAAATCCTGAATCAAAAAAGAATCTGAAAAACTTGAAACGTAATCAATAAGTCGAAAGACCAAGAAAGACTTGGATTGGATTATACCATGTTTTTTCTATAGAAAGTGTATAAAACTTACAGTTGACAAAATATAGACATACAAATAGGGTTTATTGTTTTTATAATACCTCATTGTGTATAGCATTGAAACAACACATCCTAAATACACTAAAAGCATTAATATTTTTGATTCTCTAGAAATTGTTTAGAATATACCTTACTTAGCAAAACAACGTTTGCCGGGTCAGCTAGTATATGTATATATTTGTATTTATATTTCCATTTCCTCTTTTAGAAAAGAACTGGTTCGACACCCAACAGTCCCAGCAGCAATCTCAATCCAGTAACGAACAAGGAGGTTCCAGCAACGACGGCGTGGCAGATGGAGTCAAAGCAGTGGCGCCCAATGTGGCGGCAGGTCCCGAAGACAGGGACGCCCATTGCATCATGTGTCTGGACAGATTTGACCAATTCTACGACGAGGAGAAGGAAGAATGGTGCCTTAGGAACGCTGTTAGGGTCGATGGAATGGCTTACCATCCTGTTTGTTACGAAGACCACAAGGTAATAATAGCTTTTTATTTTATTAACTTCTCGAAGGAGTTTGTTTTCATAAAAAAATCCGATTCGCTGCGACCAAATTTGTTTGTATGTGTGTGTGTGCGTGTGCATCAACAGTATTTTTGCCGTAAATCGCCGTTTTCTCAAAAACGACTGGGCCGATTTCAAAAATTTAAAAGCCATTCGATGTATCTGGATGACGACTAGCGTTTCTGAGTCTTGTGCGACGATCGGCGAAGCCGTTTCTTTATAAATTGCAGAAAAGTGAAAAAATTTCCGTCTACGTTTTAGCCCGCAATTTTGAGTCGATTTTGAAAATTCAAAAACCGGTCAAGGATATTGGCTGGGAATCGTGCTGATTAGTTTTTGGTAAAGATCGCCCGGGCCATTTTCTTGTAATAAAGTTAAAAAAAAAAATCGGCGATTTTTATGATTTTTTTGACGGTAGATATCATAGTCTTGTAGATCATACTAAAATATCACGGACCTACGACAAATCGTTTAATTTTAAAAATTTTTCAAAGTTTGCAAAAATTAGTATCGTTTTCTTGGCATTTGTCAAAATTAATTTTATTTCTGAATAATTGCTTTGTACAATACAAAAAGCTGATAGGTAAATCCATAATTATTATACATTTATATTACAAAAAATTGATTGGAGAGAATTTAATTTATTTATTCATTATTCAGTCATATTATTAATTATTGGCAATTAATATCATTTATTTAATATTTTCTAAAATATCTTATGAATGACCATCAAAATTTATTTTACAAAAATAAAAATATCAAAGTAATTTAATTTTGAAAGAATTCAAAATCAAAGACTTTAAATTTTAGATTTAAATTGAGAATTTAACATCATAATTTCAAATCAATTTATTATAAAATATCTTATTACTCTAATCATACCATTTTTTACAATTAAGTACAATCTTTTGCGATCTTAATATGTCATTTTGATCAATTTTTCTGTACTCCTTTTAATAGCTTGATGTATCACCTCTAACAATAAGTAAATAAAAAATAAATATATTTTTGATGTCATCTCTTCAAGCATATTTTATAAATATCCACAGGTGTTTCATATTTTGTGCACTCTGTGGAAATGCAAATCTGGTCATTTTTGAAATTTCGAGTTGTAAGTTTCCTATTTCGTTGACAAAATTCGAAATTTGTATCTTGATTTTTTTAGAAGCGCCTGAACCGTTTTCAGAAATTTAAAAGCCATTTGATGTATCTCAATGAGGACTATAGTTTGTCAAATTTGTGAGACGATCTGCCGAGCCGTTTCTGTTTTTAAAAAAGTGTTAAACTTTTCGTCCTCATTTAAGCTCATTCTACCGAATCGATTTTAAAAAATATCAGCGGAAAATATTAGTTGGGAATGAGGCTGATTAGTTTTAGGTGAAAATCTACTGAGCCGTTTTCTTGTAAATAACTGTTGAAAAAAAATTTAAGCCGATTTTTATGGAACTTTTTTTGACGATGTATATCATGGGCTTATGGAACTTACTGAAATATTACGGCCTTTCGACAAGTAGTTGAATTTTAAAAATTCGTCAAAGTTTGGAAAGATGAATCGTTTTTTAACGTTTGTTAAAATTAAAATTAGACGATTTACTTGGTACAACGATAGAATACTTGGTCCTAATGAACGGGCTAAACCATTAAAGTCCTACGGAAATTGGTTCAATTATATAAGTAGTTGATTTTTGAAAATTTGCTTTTAGAAAAAACTCTGAGTTTACGTGTTTGTTCGTTTTCAATTTTGTGTATTAAATCCACTCGTGTAATAATCACTCATAAATTAATTTAGTTTTTATTAATTAAGTCGATTAATTCGTGAAGTTCATGTATCTTACCTCAAGGCAAAATACCAATACCGACTAATTTATTTTATTATCTTCTTTCCCAAGGCGTCTCTGGAAGCAGCCGAGTTGGAGAAAGAAAAGGCTAAACAAGAAGAGTCTGCAGAAGAAAATAAAGACGTGAAGAAAATTGAGGACTCCACCATCGATCTGGACGATGACAAAATCATAATCCTGGAAGACGAGGAAGAAGATGACGGCCAGAAAGTGGAAAACAAAGAAGAGCAACCTGAACCTTTACCTGAAACGCAGGAGTCGTCTGCTAATGATGAAACTGATGATAGGGTTCCGGAAGATTCTGAAGTTGTTCCGATGGAGACCGAAGAAAACATTCCACCCGAGACGACGATAAGTGATGATAAAACTGATGACAAGAATGATGGTGAACCGAAACAACCAGAAGTCGAGGATGATGATGACGATGATGATGTTCATATACATGAGGAACCGGTTGAGTTGGTTGTACTTAATGACGATGAGGATGAGCAGCAGTTTGAAGAGATCGGTATGCTGGTTAAGATCAAGGAGGAACCAATTTCTGGTAAGTGAAGATATATATATATACTAGATGACCCGATAGACATTGTTCTGTACCCACGTCTACAATTTTTTAATATCCTATACTAATATTTTCTGTTAACCTAAAAATAATAATTCCCGTTTTTTAAATTACTTTTCACACCAAAATGCATACACATTTTACTATATGGGCGATGCTAAATATAGAACTGCTTTAAATAAAATGATGAGTCTCATTTCCCACACCATATTGAAAATTGAACTCTTTTAAACGATATTGAACAAATTCAGAAAAAATTAATATATAGAATCCGCGGTAAAAGTACAATATTACCTTGGATTTTTCCACCCATTTTTATAATGTCGTATCATATTTTAACTGGTTTTTAGTAATTATAAAAATATCTAAATTACATTTTTCTTAGTAATAATTTAATATACATTATTTTACCTGGTAATTTATTCCCCCCCCCTATTATTGTACCTGTTTTAACAGTTTATTGTTAAAATTATTATCATTAATTAATATCTGGTTTTTGAAACATTTTACTTATTTATTTTGGGTATTTTATGCAATTTATTCTGTTGAGCAAATCATAGAGAGCACAAAAATTCTAGCCTTTCATTATTAAACATAACCATAGCATAACACCGGTACTTCATGTTGGATTATTTTAATTTAATTTTTTGTTATTTAAGATATCTAAAATTACATCTTAAACTCCTCCTAATTGATTTCGTGAGAGCCGAATTGTATGTATTCTTCCTTACTTTCCCATTTGTTATTTTCAAGTGAAATTTTTAACGTATTTTAAAAATGTTGTGCAAAGATTATGAAAAGATGCAAAGAAATTACATATTTCTTGAATAATATTGAAAAAATATATATTGAAAACTTCATATCTTGCGTTGGTCTATTCAAGGTAGGACCGGCTCTGATTATTTCTTAATTCCATATTTTAAGTGAATTAATTTGTCCAATCCTGTTCATATGTGTATCATTCAATCTGCCATACATATACTGTATGTTATATTATTTTAATTTCTGTCACATCTCACCTGCTTTTCGGCAATAATAATGTAGACATTTCGTTTTTCTTATTCATAATCATGAATTTATTATACATAGTCTAATATTGTTGTTTTTTCAATTTTTTTTTTTTTGAAAACTTTAAAGATGTTAGATTTTTGAAAATTTTGAAATTTTTGAAAAAATCTGACTTTTTATTGAGATTGTTTTTTCCTTTAGTTTTTTTTTTAAAACTTTGAAGATTTTTGAGAATTTTGAAATTTTGGAAAAAATCTGACTATTGAAAAAATTGCTTAATTTCAATTTTTTTTGAAAACTTTGAAGATATTAGATTTTTTTAAATTTGTAAATTTTTGAAAAAATCTGATTTTTTATTGAAAAATTTGTTGTTTTTTTAATTTTTTGAAAATTTTGAAGATATCAAATTTTGAGAAATTTGAAATTTTTGAAAAAATCTGACTTTCTTTATTGAAATTTGTTTTTTGAAAACTTGAGAATTTTGAAATTTTTGAAAAAATCTGATTTTATATTGAAAAATTCGTTGTTTTTTTAATTTTTTGACTTTGACTTTTTTAAACTTGGAAGATATTAGATTTTTGAAAATTTTGAAATAATCTGACTTTTTATTGAAAAATTTGTTGTTTTTTTAATTATTTGAAAACTTTGAGGATATCAGATTTTTGAGAATTTTGAAATTTTTGAAAAAATCTGTCGGTTGGTAAGTGATCTCGAAATCGTCGAAAATTTATTTTCGATTTTTTGCTATTAATATAACATACCATACGGAAAGTTAAAAATAAAGAATTAATAATATATAAATGACGTCCATCCTAACCAAAAATTCGTGCAAAAGTCAACATAAAAGTATTTGAAGTAATGGGAAACTTATAAAAAATATTAGTGTCAAACGATTCAGAATGACTTGTGAAGTCGAGAAAACAAAATTCGTAAAACAACGCGGGTCCTCTTAACGGGAAATCGGTACAATTGTTTTTTCGATGCCAAACGATTCAGAATTGCTCTAAAAGTCGAAGAAGCTATAAAAAATGTATATATATATATATATATATATATATATACTAGCTGACCCGACAGACGTTGTTCTGTACTCATGTCTACAATTTTTAAATTTTTTATACTAATATTTACTGCTTAGTTAAAAATAATAATTACTGTTTTTTGAATTACTATTTACACCAATATATGAGTGATGTTGAATGTAGAACTATTTCAAATAAAATGATTGTTCTCAATTCCCACAGTTAACACTTTAATTATTCATTTAACAAATATTAAAAAATGTTCAATAAAATTGTATATTAAAAATTATACAGTGCGATTTATAGAACAAATTTATTTCCAATAGCTCAATTTATTTTATTGCATTTAAGGGTTATATAGTATTTTTAGTCATACCTGTAGATGTGGATGTATAAATAAATGATTTTTTGTTTATTCACGACTAAAACATCGATTTTCCAAATTTATCACAATAAAAATGATCGTCTGCCTTTGTGATTTATGTCACAGCATAAGATACACGTGTTGAAAATTGAAATCTTTTAAAAAGGACAACAAATTCAGAAAGAATTAATATATAGCATTCGCGGTAAAGGTGCAATATCACCTTTTATTTTTTTACCCAAAATATATGCTTTAAAAATGTTGCCTATAATTTTTATAATTTCGTACCATATTTTAACTGGCTTTTAGTAATTTTAATATCTAAATTACATTTTTTTCTCCAATAAATCAATATACATTATTGCTTAAGTTTATATTTGAAGTGAATTAATTTGTCAAATCATGTTCACATGTGCTCTATTCAACTTGCAATCAACAAAATTATTGCTCTGTGAATTTTTTTACTGTGCTCCAATTTACTTGATATTTTGGAAATAGGCTAATCTTTATCTTAATTTCAATGTTTTTAACAATTTGCACTCCGTCACCATCCACAGCATTAATTGGATTATTACTCTTTTAATTCTGATTTTATCAGAACTTGTAATACACTATTTTAAATGTGATTAAATGAGCTACAACTTTCTCTATCATTAATTTTACCGTAACTTCTCTTATTGTAAAACGGCGAAGTTTTAAAGGGCTCGAAAGACCTCTGGTTGGACAGCTCCTTAATTAATCATACATCTATCAATATTTGTGTAACGAAAAAATAATAAACAATAATAATTAGTCAGAAAAATACCTCGAATTTTCTTATATATATATACTTTTATACGTATTCTTTCAGAGGTATTATGATGAGAAATTGGTTGTTTTTTTTTAAATGTTTTTTTTTAAATGTTTTTTTTTCATGAAATCATGAGTTTTTTGAGAATCATTTGTACTAAAGTTGTGGTATTTTCTAGAATCCATCAAGATCTCTTAAACCAAGTTAATTCTAGATTGAATACGATTATTTTTAATTTTGGTGGATATGGCACTCAAAGTATTTGATTTAAATGAAAAAAAAAAAACATTGCATGCGTCCTTTATCTGCATGATAGCTCACTCATTTTACACGCAGAAGTACTCATTTTAAAGCTTATTTTGAGCACTATAAAAACCCATTTTTATATCTAGCCTAATAATGTTCCTAAAACACTATAAAATAACGATTTATTAAGATTTTAATTGATATAATTCTGTTCATTACATGATTTTCGTTAAAATGTATATTTTTGAAGGTGTTAGCAAAAAATGATGAAAAACGCAAAAAAAAAACAAATATTCAGTAGCCAGTAACTTGAAAAGTATTTCGTTTTTTGAAAAACATTATTAAATATTTTTCTCGTATAATTAGTTTTTTTATCGATACCCAACGTTATTTTGAAAAAAGTAAAATTACACCACTGAAAAGAAATGTCATCCACCCGAGAAGTGGTAAAGGAGTCTAAATTGTTTTCACTTCTGAAGAATAAGATGAACCTAGTTTCAAAATTCCAAACGAATTGGAAAATAGTAAAAATTTCAGACCCAAAGCGCTCCATTGAGTAAATATTCCGTACCCAATGACAAACATATGAATTTTTGACACAATGAAACTTCTAAATAATTTTTTTTGTATTGTGATTTAGTATAGTAAGGCAAAACGACTGCAAATTGAATATGTTTGAGCGCAATCACTTATGGCTCGCTCCTTTGCGCGAATTCGTACGGCGAATCTGTTCGCAAAGTGCGCAAACAAAATTATTGCAAGCAAAAGCAAACCACGCGCACGTCAGACGCATGCGCAGACTGCATCACTTGTCAAATGCATGTTAAATTATTTGCATCTTATATTAATTTAATTTTTGGCACATCTCAGCTGCTTTTCGGCATTAATAATGTAGACATTAAATTTTTCTTATTCATAATTATGAATTTATTATATTCTAATATCGCCTTAGCCTATAAGTGAATAGAAATGTTTGGCAAATGACAGTCCTCAATTGTTTTTAATGTCAAACTAAGTTTCAAATATTTTCAAGGGCAAACAATGATAAGCGGTTTTTTATAATTTTTTCTATTTATTTCTACAATCTAACTATATTTCTATGAATCAAAACATTCTAAAAAATTTCCCGAACAAACTTCAGGAAGATTCATGAAAATCCGAATTATAGTTTAGGAGGAAATATGAAACTTACATTGTTACAGAAGAATTTTATATATAAGATATATATATATATATACTCCCCCTAAACGATTATTCGGATTTTGATAAATCTTTCTGAAGTTAGTTAAGGGAGTTTTTTAGGATGTATGTGATTATAGAAATATAGTAATATTGTAGAAATAAATGGAGAAAAATTGCAAAAAACGACATGTCATTGTTTGACATTGAAAGACAGATTTTTTCAAAAATCTCAAAATTTTCAAAAATATATCTTCAGTTTTTTTTTTTTCAAAAAAAATAATGAATTTTTCAATAAAGTCAATTTTTTCAAAAATCTAATATTTTCAGTTAAAAAAAAATTTGAAAGAATAACAAATTTTTCAATAAAATGTCAGATTTTTTCAAAAATTCTCAAAACTCTAATATCTTCAAAGTTTTCACCAAAAAAAATTGAAAAAACAACAAATTTTTCAAAAAAAAGTCGGCTTTTTCAAAAAATCTAATATTTCTTCAGTTTTCAAAAAAAAAGCTTTTAAAAATTTAAATTACGGTACGGAAAATTTCAGCAATTTGCCAAGGATGCCAAGCACCACTAGTTTCACTAAAACAACCGTTTACACTAATTTTTTTTATTAAAACCCCATTTTCTCATAGGCCTATAATATTTTAAACTGTCCGCTTTAACCATCACTACATAAAATTTAACCTGATTGCTCTCCTTGTCAATTATCCATTCTACTAACACCCAGTTTATTTCCTTTATCACCAGACAACGAAGAGGATCTAGACGTGGACATCATCGAAGACTACACCCCAAGAGCAGCCGACAACACCCAGCAATCAGTCATAAGCTCGATCGATGGAAACGTTGAACTGGAACCAACGACAGCCATCACAACCAACATCGGCTTGAACAGAATCCGTATAAACATATCGACAGCCAGCCAGGCTTCGACAAATGGTCCTGAACCGAATAACCAGACTGATGGTGTCAACAATAATGTGAACGATAGTGATAAAGACACTAGTGATGTAAATAGAGACAACGTTAGGTTAAAAGAGGCTTTGAGAGGTGTTGAGTTGCAAACGCAGGAACCGGTTTGTAAGGGAAATGAATTGTCAGGTTTGTGCTGCATTATGTAACAGATATAAAAGAAAGTGATTATGAAAAACTATTGACAAATGACGAAGTGATATATTAGTTTAACCCTCTATACCCTCCCCCCTTGTAAATAGAAATTGACTTGATGATTTCATGTATATACTTGTATATTTCCTAGGACTTAATTATGTTTAGTATTATTATCATTATGATTATATTATGAACTGTTATTTATTTATAAAAATGTGTATTTGAATATTTTTGTAAATTATATAAAAATATTGAGAAAGAAAACAAAGCGAAAATGATTTTACATACAATGCTGTTGTTTTTCTTATATTTGTCGTTCAGGTCGATTGATCGAACGGAATTTATTCAAATTTACAGTTAATAAAGGTTCATTTTGAAAACAACTGCGCCGGGTTTTATTAATAGACTTAAGTGTTTGTTTTCAGGATTAAAATTAAGGTTATTTTTTTCAAAAATATTTAACCATTTTTAATCTTCTATATATATATAAATAAGTCGGGTTTTCCTTCCTGACGATATAACTCCAGAACGCACGAACCGATTTTGACAATTTTGCATTCGTTGAAAAGGTCTCGGGCTCCGCAAAGTTTATATCTAATTAGTGGTGCATGGCATTGTGCCTCAATGCAAATTGCTGGAACTTTACGCACCTTAATTAAAAATTTGAGTAATGACATTAGTGAGAATTATCAGAATTATGCTTGGTTAAGTCAACGAGCAATTCTTGCCGCGATGAATAATGATGTACACGCACTGAATTTCACCATTCAATCAAAAATTGCTGGCGATTTGGTGACATACCAATGATTCCGACTGGTTTTCCGTTTGACTTCAAACGATTGCAATTTCCAGTTCGCAATAACAAGTCGCAAGGCCAATCGCTTAGTGTTTGCGGGATAAATCTCGAATAGATTATTTAGAAAATCATTGTTTTTCACATGGGCAGTTATATGTTGCCTGTTCACGAGTTGGGAAACCATCCGCTTTGTTTGTGTTAACGTCAGACCAAAAAACAAAAAATGTGGTTTACCAAAGATCACTTCCATGAAACGGATAATTTGCGGATTTACTTTCATTTACTTAGAGAAGTTCAACTAAAAAACACTTCATTTTTGTAATCGAAATAAATTCATTACTGTTGTGTAATAAAATCCAAATTTTCCTTTTCAAATGTAAAACAAACATAAACAAACAAATAGCGAAACGGAGTTCGTCGGGTTTGCTAGTTACTTTATATTTATTATTTTGAGGAATTTCAATGACACGATCTGAGCTCATTATTAATTAATTAAAAAAAAATTAATTACAATTATAAAAATATTAAGAGTTTTTTTTCAGAAGTACAATATTTGCATCAAAATTGTGCTTTCAATTTTTCAAGGTTTTTATTATATATTTATTATATAATTTTATTCTACGGTTTGGAGTCGGACTAGCACTATACTGATTTTATAAAATGTAAGTATAATTTCTTTGTTCGAATTAGATAATTATTTGTTTTAATAAATAAAATCTTGTTCTGTTTTAGATTTTTCAACAAATTGTCTACCCAAGAAGTGCTTCTGGATTTTTGGATATGGGGGTAATCACAGGAAGCAAATGGTAAGTTTATATTTATATAAATTATTTTTTGAGGATTGTTTGTTCAACGTTGAAACATTTATTCAATTCAATATATCTCATATATAAAATTCTTCTGTACCGGTGTATGATTTGATACTTCTCCTAAACGGTTATTCGGATTTTGATAATTCTTTCTAGAGTTTGTCAAAGAAATTATTTAAGATTGAATGAACGATAGAACTAGAGTAATATTGTAGAAATAAATGGCAAAAATTACGAAAAAAACACTCATCATGAATTTGTAGTGAACGAGCTTAAAGAACTTTTACTTGAAAAAATTGAATATTGTTTGAAATTTGGCATGTTGGGTGGGTATTGTTTGAAAGTTCTTTTTGTATAGAATCAGAATAGTGAAACTAACTATGTGGTTTGTCTACAAAATACACACTTTTAAGAAATATATAACAAATATCTTATATATAAAATTCTTCTGTACGGCTGTATGATTTCATACTTTTCCTAAACGGTTATTCGGATTTTGATAATTTTTTTTAGAGTTTGTCAAAGAAAATTCTTAAGATTTAATGAACGATAAAACGATAGTAATATTGTAGAAACTAGTTTTGGATGGCATCGTGCCATAAGGCAAATTGCTGGGACTTCCGTAGATTTTTGAGAAATTTTAAATTTTTAAATAAAATTGACTTTTTTGGTAAAAAAAATTTAATCAGCGCTTCATCTTGTTAATACAAGTAAAATGTTTTTTAAATTATTAAAATTGGACGCTCCGTTCTCTTGAAAACTGAATTACCGTTTTTGGCACTTTTTGCCCCATATCTTCGAAACTACTATACCTGCATTTGCCAAAAACTAATCAGCACGTCTCCTTATCAGTACGAAACGAATGTGTTTTAAATAATCTAAATCGCTTGATCGGTGTTCCCGAAATCGTCGACAAAAACTTGTATCCGCAAACACACACACACACACACACACACGCATACATCCATTTTTTCTAAGGTATGCCAAAATATTCAGAAACCTCTGAAACGTAAAGATATATAAAAATTTCATTTTCGATTTTTTTGCGATTACTATAACTTGCCCTACGGGAAGTTAATAAATGGCAAAAATTATAAAAAAAACACTTATCATTGTTTGACATTGAAAAAAATTGTACTGTCATCTACTAGTAATGCCGATTCACTTGAAATTTTAATTTAGCTGAAATTATGAGCCTGGATAATATTACAATATAATATACAAGAAAAATGTAATGTCTACATTATTATTGTCGAAAAGCAGCCGAGATGTGCCAGCAATTAAAATAATATAAGATGCAGTCAACAGTATTTGTTTGGCAGATGAATTATATAATTCAGTTTAATAAATAACGCAATAAGTCCAAAATTGCATATACATTATTTTTTTTAACTTATGCAAGTCGCATTTTGGTTTACTTTACTGAATTATTGAACAATACAAAAAAATATTTCTACTTATTGAAAAAATGATTTAGAATTTTGTTTAATGTGTAAAAAATTCATTTGTTTGTCATTGGATATGGCATATTTAGCAAGTGGTCGTAGATTGAACAGTGCACCATATGAACTAGATTTTACAAATTAATTCTCCTAAGATTTGAACTTAAGCAATAATGTTTATTAAATTATTAGTGAGAAAAATGTACTTTAGGAATTATAATTGCCAAAAAGCAACTAATATTTTGTACTTGAATATGAAAATTATAGACTAAATTATTGAAGTAATTATGTGTTGTGTGGTAAAATCAAGTGTGATATTGTTATTTTTTCTTGATTTCTTATACTGCTTATGCTAAGACCATAAAAGAAACACAAAGGCAGGACATCAAATAGGATATTAAAAAAATTTAAACTTTTGAATTGTAGACGTGGGTGCAGGACGTCTGTCGGGTCATCTAGTATATATATATATATATATATATATATATATATATATATACAGTAGAATCCGATTAGTATGACGCCGGATATATTGACAACCGCTTATTATGACGTAATTTTAAAGGCAGTTTGGTTTCCATATAAAATTTCTTAAAAAAACAGCTGTCTAGTCGGATATGTTGACCTCGCTTACATTGACATTTCGCTTATAATGACCCATTTTTGAAAAAAAATTTGGTCCAAGTATAATGACCGACATGATTTTACACCTCCGATAACATAGAGTTCATGTTTTTCATTGCAAATTGTTATATATATATATGCATATAATATATTTTTTATCACTCGTGTCCGTTCGCCTTATCTAGAAGTGCAAACCTTTTATTATGTTGAACACAAACAGTGTCTGTGTGTTAATTAAACGAAAATGTTAATTAACTCCAAAGCAAGCAACTACCACCTACAACAGATAATATTTATTGAAAAATTATCTAAACAGATAAAATAAAATATTGACTCATATTAAATTAATTTTGCACGCAAGAAGAAGAACCTACTAGAAAAAATTAAATAAACTAGTTGGTATTGGTATTTTGCCTTGAGGCAAGTTACATGAACTTCCCGATATGTGTAAATAATCGACTTATTCAATAAAATATAAATTAATTTATGAGTGATTAAAAGTATTCCGAGTGGATTTATTTCACATAATTCAAAACGAACGAACACGTTAACTCGGAGTATTTTCTAAAAGCAAATTTTCAAAAATCAATAATTTATATAATTGAACCAGTTTCCGTAGGACTTTAATTGTTTAGTATGTTCATTAAGACCAAGTACCACTATCGTTATACCAAGCAAAATCGTCTAATTTTAATTTTAACAAACGTCAAAAAAAAACACTCATTTTCTCAAACTTCGATGAATCTTTGAAATTAAACTACTTGTCGTAAGGCCGTAATATTTCAGTAAGTTCTATAAGACCATGATATATATTGCCAAAGAAAGTTCTATAAAAATCGGCTTAATTTTTTTTTTCAACAGTTAATTACAAGAAAACGGCTCGGTATATTTTCACCTAAAACTAATCAGTATCATTCTCAACTAATATCTTTCGAACAGTTTTTGATTTTTTAAAATCGATTCGGTAGTATGAGCTTGAATGTGGACGAAAAGTTTCACACTTTTTTTTCAAATTACAAAGAAACGGCTTGGCAGATCGTCGCACAAAACTGCGAAACACTAGTCCTCATTGAGATACATCGAATGGCTTTTAAATTTTTGAAATCGGTCCAGCCGTTTTTTGAGAAAACGTCGATTTACGGCAAAAAATTTGTTCACATATATACACACACACACACACGACATACATACTTTTTCCAAATGTTGGTCTCATTCGATTCAGAATGGCTTGAAACGCCGAGAAAACATAAAATTAGCAAATCGGATTTTTTGATGAAAACATAAACTTCTCCTTTTAAAAATATTTTCAATTTTTTTTTTAAATTTAAAGATGACGAAAAAGGCTTTACTTCATATCGATAAAAACGTTCTCTGTCATATCCTAATTTGCATGTCTTTTAAAATTCGTTAATAACAAAAACAAAGTTTAAAAATATCGAAATTAACACATTTTTCACACACGACTGGATTTCTTCTACTAATTCAAATATTGA